CAATTTCCCCCCCTCAATGAGTCTCTAGAAGTCTTATTTTCCACTGCGGGAGGCGCCCCTTGGACAGACGGACGCCTCGCGAGCCTGCCATTCAGGCGTGAGCCCGTGTTGTGAAGGATCACGGTCCACTCTTCTGACCATGCAGCGGAGACCCGTGCCGAGAAGCACCCTCTGCTTGCCTCGCAGGGTGCCCGGGGTTTCTTGGGCTTCTTGGCTTTTGCTACGGAGAGCGTGGAGTTCCCACACCAAAAGTCAGTGGACGTCCTGGGGTCTCAGGGTTGGGTTTCTGGTGGAAGGTTTCTTGTGGTCGGTCCCCTACTGCAGGAAATCCGAAGACGTAGGGCCATCACGTTCAAGCTAATCTCCAGCGAGAGCGCCGTCTTGAAAAGGATTTGTCCGCCATCCGTGCAAAAGCGATGCACACCTTCACACTCACAGGGCAAGCCTCGAGAGAGAGCCTCATTTGAGGAAGGAGCTTCCCTTCATGCGTGCAGCCGTTGCGCAGCTTCACGCCGGCCAATTCGCTTCTCGGTGCCCCCGTTTAGCTCTATCGCTGGTGCAGCCAACTGCGCCTCACCGCCGACGGAGAAAGCGTGTAGCCGTTGCGCAGCTTCGAGCAGTCTCAAGTGGAAGCCCCACTTTGAAAAGGAATCGCCCTCCGTCTGTGCAGATGCTGGGTCTGTAAAAGGCGAGTGGGCCCGGCGCCGAGTCGAGGACTTCCGTTTTTGAAAAGGAGCCACCTTCCACCCGTGCAATTGCTGTAGATGTTAAAGACGATTGTGCGCGGCGCCAGCGCGAGAGCGCATTGAAAACAACTCGTGATGTGTCCGTGTACTCGGTGGAATGTGTTGCAACCAGTATGCGCGGCGCCATGGCGAGGGCCCCATTTTGAAAACCAGGTGTGCTCCATCCGTGTAGCTATCGGACATTTCAGTACTCGAGATCATAGGGCGTGAAGAATATCAGGCGAAACGCCTGGCCCGCCCTAGCGACACGTCTGGTGGTGCAACAGGAATGAGCTACCGTCGGACTGAGGTATAAGATCGCGGTCGGTTCGGGGATGGTACCCTAATGTTCTTCATGTTCGTTGGATGTTCTTGTGCATTATGAGGGAGGGTACCCTCGAACGTTCTTCAGTTTGGCAGGCGGAGGTCCCATGTTTTTGAAGGATGCTCTTCTGTCCCAGGTGTTCACCCGTATATACAGGGAGAGGGGTTGAGGGAGACATGGAGGAGGAGGAGGAGGAGGACGAGGAGGAGGAGGAGGAGGAGGAGGAGGAGGAGGAGGAGGAGGGAGGAGGAGCAGGAGGAGGAGGAGGAGGACCAGTGGAAACCCAAGAGTCATCAAAGAGGGTGGAATACACCCTCCCTCCAAGCTCCCTCTTCATAGGCTCCTACAGCGGTTCACTTCCACTGAGGGAACTGCCTCGTTGGAAGACAACCAGCTGAAGATCCTGAAGCATGCCAAAACATAGTTCTCGGGATTCCAACGCCACGGATCAACCTGACTGTTGCGTCTTGACGATCGTGCCAGAACACCATTCCTGGGGCTTGAACAGCCCGAATCAGCGTAACTTCTGCACCCTCTTAATATTGAATCCTTCCGAAACACCATTTCTGTTTTGTTGATCATGGAAATCCGTGGAACTCTGTCACACTGAAAATCAAATGTGGGCGGCGCTAAGGCCAGAACCACAGTTTGAAAACCACCTGCCCTCAATCCGTGAAACTCTTGCAAACTTTGAAAGCGAATGTGCGCGTTGCTAAAGCAAGAGCCACATGTTGAAAACCACCCGCCCTCAATCCGTGAAGTTCTTGCAAACGTTGAAAACGAATGTGCGCGTTGCTAAGGCGAGAGCCACATTTTGAAAAGGAACCGCCCTCAATCCGTGAAGCTTTTGCAACTGTTTAAAACGAATGTGCGCGGCGCTAAGGCGAGAGCTACATGTTAAAAACCACCCGCCCTCAATCCGTGAAGCTCTGGCATTTTGTTTACAACGAATGTGCGCACCGCTAAGGCGAGAGCCACAGTTTGAGGAGGAGGAGGAGGCGGAGGAGGAGGAGGAGGAGGAGGAGGAGGAGGCGGAGGAGACGGAGGGAGGAGGAGGAGGGGGAGGGCCCTTCTTCTCTCCCCCCCTCCCTCCCTCTTTCGGTCCAGCCCGACTCGAGCGACATACGACAGGGGGTGTGAACCGCGTGGGCGCGCGCGCGCGCAAGCAAGCAAGTGCCCTCGCTACCCCATGGTGTGGCACGCTGGCTGCCATCGCGCAAGCCATCGCACAGGGCGGCTGCGCCCTCCCGCACAATACCTTCCACTCGAAGAAACGACATAAACATCAACTTGTTGCGCTCCTCCAAAAGTTGATGTGTGTGTGTGTGTGCGCGTGTGTGTGTGTGTGTGTGTGTTTTGGTTTCTCTGTCCACGTCGTCGCGCGCCACGGCGTGCTGCGTCGGCGGCCTGCGCGGGCGACGCCGTGGCGTCGCTGCGTCCTCGTCGCTCTGCTGCGAGTCCCGCGCACGCTCCCCGCTCGCTGCGGCTCCCGGCGCAGCCATGGGGCAGAGGTCGGGTCTGGAGGGGTACGTCCGTTCGTTCCTTCTTCCTTGTCTTCCTCCTTCTCCTCCTCCTCCTCCTCCTCCTCCTCCTCCTCCTCCTCCTCCTCCTCTTCCTCGGAAAAAATCTCCAAAAATAGCCTGGCGAAGGACCCAACCACATGCAGTTGAGAGTGCCGCCGTTGTGAGAACTGCTTCAGTTGAGCTCCCGATGGGGCCAGAAAGCGCGTGAGGGGTGTGCCGAAATTGGTGCGGCGGCGCCATGCAGGCGCTGCCACTGGGGCCGTCGGTGAAGCTCCCTTTGGGGCCGCGAAACGTGTGAGGGATGTGCCGAAATGGGTGCGGTTGCGTCATGCGGGCGCTACCGGGGTTTTCTGTGGAACTCCCTATGGGGTCACGAAACCTGTGAGGGATGTGCTAAAATGGGTGCTGCGGCGCCATGCGGGCGCTGCCACTGGGGCCATCGGTGAAGCTCCCGATGGGCCACGAAACGCGTGAGGGGTGTGCCGAAATGGGTGCGGCGGCTTGTGGGCGCTGCCACTGGGGCCCTCTGTGGAGCTCCCTACTTATGGGGCCACGAAGCGTGTGATGGGTGTGCCGAAATTGGTGCGGCGGCGCCGAGCGGGCGCTGCCATTTGGGCCTTCGGTGGAGCTCCCTGTGGGGCCACGAGGCGCGTCAGAGGTGTGCCGACGTGTGCATGCGGAGAGCAGCGGCAGGGATGGGAGTGCGGAGAGCAGAGGCAGGGGATGGGAGGGAGGGGGGAGGGAGGGACAGGAGGAGAGGAGGAGACGCTGGGCGCTGCCTGCCCAGGACCCGACACCCCCGGCCCGCTGGGAACGACGGGGCTCCCCGCCCGCTGCCGCCCCCATCGCGCAGGAGAGCGAGGGCCGCGAGCGGTGGGCGGAGGTCCAGGGCCGCGTGAGCGGCATCCACGAGGACTGCAGGGCGGCCAGGGCTGCCGTCGGTGGCCCTCGGCGGCCGTCGGCGGCCTTCGGTCGTCGTCGTCGTCGTGGTCGTGGTCGTGGTCGTGGTCGTGGTCGTGGTCGTGGCCGCCGCCGCCGCCGCCCCGCCGCCGCCGCTGCCGCCGCTGCCCTCGTCGTCGTCGTCGTCGTCGTCGTCGTCGTCGTCGTCGTCATGGGCCGGCCGGCCCCCGTCCTCTGCCCCCGTGCGCTGCCGACCTCGCCTGGGTCGTGGAGGCCGCTCCTCCAGCCCTCCTCGGCTGCCTCTCCTGCTCCTCCTCCTCCTCCTCCTCCTCCTCCTCCTCCTCCTCCTCCTCCTCCCCTTCCTCTCCTCCCCCTCCTCCTCCTCCTCCTCCTCTCCTCCTCTCTTCCTCCTCCTCGCCGATGCCGTCCCTTGGGCGCCCGAGTTATCCGGGGTAACTCGGGTCCGGGGTAACTCGGGTTTGGATTCCCGAAAAAGGAACCCGAGTTATCCCTGACCCGAGTTACCCCTGATGATTCGGGGCTCTGGACGCCCGAGTTATCCGGGGTAACTCGGGTCCGGGGTAACTCGGGCTTGGATTCCCGAAAAAGGAACCCGAGTTATCCCTGACCCGAGTTACCCCTGATGATTCTGGGGCTCTGGACGCCCGAGTTATCCGGGGTAACTCGGGTCCGGGGTAACTCGGGTTTGGATTCCCGAAAAAGGAACCCGAGTTATCCCTGACCCGAGTTACCCCTGATGATTCGGGGGCTCTGGGCGCCCGAGTTATCCGGGGTAACTCGGGTCCGGGGTAACTCGGGCTTGGATTCCCGAAAAAGGAACCCGAGTTATCCCTGACCCGAGTTACCCCTGATGATTCTGGGGCTCTGGACGCCCGAGTTATCCGGGGTAACTCGGGTCCGGGGTAACTCGGGCTTGGATTCCCGAAAAACGAACCCGAGTTAGCCCTGACCCGAGTTACCCCTGATGATTCGGGGCCCCCTCGACCACGAGGGACTCGGCGGCGAGCCTGGTGGGGAAGCGAGAGGGAGAAGGCCTTCTCAGAAGGCTCGGAAGCCCCCTGGCCTTCTGAGAAGTTCTTCCCCGAAGACGCAGACAACTTTCTCAGACGGCGCGGGGACTTCCGAGAAGTTTCGCCGCCTTCTGAGAAGGCCTTCTCTTCTGCACTGCCCCCCTCGCTCGCCGCCGAGGGACGCCCCCAGGAGGTCGAAAGAAGCGATCGGCCACGCGCAGAGGCGGGTAATGTCGGACCGAGGTGCAAGATCGTGGTTGGTTCGGGGAGGGTGCCCTGATGCTCTTTGTGCATGCTGGATGTTCTTGTGCATCCTGGGGGAGGGCACATTCGAAGGTTCTTCAGTTTTGGCTGGCAGAGGGTCTCGTGTTCTTGAAGGATGTTATGATGTCCTGGGGGAGGAGGGGGGAAGGCTTCTTAGAAGCATCTCCGCTTCTTAGAGGGCGCGGGCCTCATCTATAGATGCAGGGCCGGCGGCGCTTTCCAGGAAGCAGCTTCCCTCTAAGAAGCCTTCACCCCTCCCCCTACCCCCTTGTGCACGCCGCCAAAGCCTTCGCGTCGCTCGGACGCGTGCATTTTTTCTCGGCGTGGACCATCAGGAGCATATTAGGCCATCCTGCGAAAAAACACGCACCAAAACCGACACAAATGCACGGCGAAGGGACGTCCGAGCGATGACAGGAGGCGGGCAGCGCCAAGCTCCGAAGGCCCTCGGAGACCAGCGGCGGCGCGCCAGAGGGACCTACACAAAAAAAGGGTGGCCCCCTTGGCGAAGCGATGCGGCCCCTCGTGGAGGCCCTCTGGCCGTCCCGGGAGCCCTACTCGAGGCCTGCGATCCCTCCCGGGAGGTCCTCTGCCTTCCCTGGAGGTGCCCCCCTTCCCTCCCTCGAGGCCCTCCTGCCTTCCCGGGAGCCCTGCTCGAGGCCTCCGATCCTTCCCAGGATGTCCCCTGCTTTCCCTGGAAGCCCCCGAAGAAGAAAAAGTGCGATAAACATTAACTTTCATTGGCGCTCCGCGCAGATTTCTTGGATCCGCGCTGGGCCCCCCCCCCCCCCGCGGCGGCGCCTCCGGCGCCGCCACTGGCGCGCTGTGCGCGCCGGGGAGGGGGGGGGGTCCAGCGCAGCGCGGAGCACCAAAAGTTTACGTTTATGACGTTTTCTCTTCTTCCATCATGGCTGGAGCTCTCGACCCTCCCATCCTCCTCCTCCTCCTCCTCCTCCTCCTCCTCCTCCTCCTCCTCCTCCTCCTCCTCCTCCTTCCACACCCTTTCTGCCCGTGCTCTCGAGCCCGCTCGGTCCAGGAGGGCCCCGGGGCCCCGAGGCCGAGAGGGTGTGTCCGCCGTGCTCGTGGGTGCCACAGCGCCGCCGGCCCGCGGCCGCGGCCCGCTCCGAGAGGAGGTCCAGGCCCTGCAGAGGCGCGTCGAGAGCCTGGACGGGCGCGTCTGCCGCGCCGGCAGCGGCGACGCCCACCGCCAGCGCCAGCGCGAGCTGGAGCAGCAGGCCTCGCTCCTGGGGGGGGGGGGGGCAGCCTTCGGGTGGCTGCTGGTTGGTTCTCGGAGGCATTGCGTTTCTCCCCGATCTCGTGGGTCGGTTTTCAGAGGCTGTCGGACGCTTTCAGAGCGAAGGTTTCCCAAGGCTGTCTAACACACTCTGCAGTCAGCAGCTTGGAGTGAGGACCGCTTCGGCTCCGGAGGGCGCTCCTAGTTCCTCGGGTCCCCAATCGGATTCCTCCAGGGCCACCTCGAAGAGAAGTGGGCTCCGCTTGTCATTCGAGGCCCCCTGCCAGACGGTTCGCGCCCGCCGTCTCCCGGCCCGCTCGAGCGCGCTGTGCGGCCTGCCCCCGCCGCGCTGCGGCGCAAGAAGTGCTTCGAGGCCCCCTCTGTGGCAAGACTGCAGGGGGCTCTCGGAGGCCCCTGCAGTGGAGGAGGGGAGGGAGGAGGAGGAGGAGGAGGAGGAGGAGGAGGAGGAGGAGGAGGGGCTCCTCCTGCTCCTCCGTGCCCCAGGGGTGCTCTCCAGAGGCCGCGCCCCACCGCGGGGGACGGGGGTGCTCTCCAGAGGCCGCGCCCCACCGCGGGGGGCGGGGGGCACTCGGGAGCGCCCTCCCGGGCCTGCCTCTCTCTCCTCTGGCCTGGCCTTCCGGCCGAAGGAGCTGCGTCTTGAGCTTTCTTGGGCCCTCAAGATGGCCTCTTCTCCCGAGACAGGGGGCCCGTCAGGGCGGCGCACGCTCCCGAGATGCGGCGGTGACCGAGGTGTACGTTCGAGGTCGGTTCGGGGAGGGTGCCCTGGTGTGCTTCGTGTCCGTTGGATGCTCTTGTTGATCCTGGGGGAGGGTATCCTCGAGTGATCTTATGGCTTGGGGTGTTTTGGGCCAGCGGAGGGTCTCGTGTTCTTGAAGGATGCCCTCCTGTGCCGGGTCCGACCGTATTGTGTGTCTGCCGAGGGTCCAGTGACACTACGCAGCGCGAGTCTCGTGCAGGCTGCCAGGGCGACCTCTAGGAACAGAGCTCTGGTGGCGGTGGTGGCGGCTCTCTCTCTCTCTCTCTCTCTGTCTCTCTTCTCACAGCTGGCCCCAGTGCCGCCTCCGGCGCCACCGATTTTCTTGGCGGTCCTTGCCTACTCCGTCCCCGACTCTCGTGCGTTTGCTCGCCTTGCGATGCCACGTCTCACTGTTTGGGGTCCACGCGCCTGTCTCGAGGCCGCCCAAATAAGGCCAGCACATCGCGCCGCAAGGGCGAGCTGGCGCGATCATGAGTACGATCTTCTCCATCCTCTCATCGCCGATGCATCGCTGCATCGGATATGCTGTGCGATACTCCGACCCTACTTATCGGCTCTGGCCCCATTTGTGCGTTGTGCGTTGATCACTTCCCCGACTCATGGCTGAAGCCCCCAACCTCCTGGCCAGATGTCATTGCTTCCTTCCGCGGGGGGTCCCCTCTTGGTGGCGACCCGATAATCCTTGGATCCATGGCGTCACGCGGATTTCCTTCCCTCTTCCGCGCGCGCCTTGCCATTGGAACCCCTGAACCCTTCCGTTTAGAGTGCGCTAGCACTTGAGTGCAATTGGTATTAGCATGCACTATCATGCAGATAGTGCTAGAGCGCGCCTGGTCCTACTAAAGTTGGGGGTTTATTCAACTGCAAGGAGAAGATATGTTGGATGAGAATGAAGGGCGGTGATCACGTTGTACCCCAGTAGAACAAGCCATTTCGACGCACATACTCAGCACAACTTCAGTACAACTACTTTTGCAGTGTTGCGGCATTGTATTTACAATCTGGGCCTTCGCGTTTTTCCTCTTCTGGTTGCGCCGGGGGAAATGGAGCCCCACGCGCGAGCATCCTCGCGGCTTAGAATTCATTCCTCTTCAGAGATTCACACGGGGGTCACCTCCGTGCTCGAACCCCTCGCCAAAGATGTTTGTTCTTCTTCCGCGGAAATCTGACCCCATGGGTTCTTCGGCGCGCCCCAGAAGTTAGTTCTTTCCGGACGGCCCCCCCCCCCCAGGTCCTGCGTTTGAGTCGGCCAGGTAATTCTGCGTTGTTCAACGTTTTGGACAGAGTGATATGGGCTGGCAGCAGAGCCCCTGAGAGCGGGAGCGCTTCCTTCCCCCCTCCTTTGAAGGTCCAGTCCCTCGAGCAGCAGTCCAGCCTCAAGCTCAACATGGCCGACGAGACCGTGAAGCGCCAGGCATGAGCAGGAGGAGGATGTCGACCACGAAGATGACGACGAGGACGGCGGGTCGGCGACGGCGGCGACGACTGCGATTGCGATAGCAACGGCGACGGCGAACAAGGCGGCCAAGCTGGCGCGAGCGGACGAGTCCATCAGGGAGATCGGCAGGCGCCTCTGCAGGGTGGAGGAGGATCCTCACAGCTGTCGTCGTCGTAATCGTTGTCGCCGTCGTCGTCGTCGTCTTCGTCGTCGTGATCGTCGTCGTCTTCGTCGTCGTCTTATTTATCTTCTTCCCTGATTAATATGATTAATGTTATACTTACCATTGCTAGTATTATTACGTATTAGTGTTAGTGCTATTATGATGTGTATTCCTCATATCACTATTATTATTATTATTATTATTCATCGTCGGCGTCGTCTCCTACCCGTGCTCATTCTCCCTCTCTTTCCCTCATTCTTCTTTCCCTTCATTCGTCCCCTCCTCCTCCCTCCTCACCCTCGCTTCTCGTCCTCCCTCCTCCTTCTCATCCTCCTCCCTTCTCCCCGTCCCTCGTCCTCCATCTTCACCCCTCCTCCTCCTCCTCCTCCTCGTCCTCCTCCTCCTCCTCCTCCTCCTCCTCCTCCCTTGTCCGTTGTCCCTCCTGCCTCCTCCCTCCTCCTTCTTCCTCCTCACCTCCTCCTCGTTTTCCTCCTCATACACCTCCTCCTCCTTTCTCCTGCGTTCGCGTCGCTCCAACGGCAGTGTTATGCAGTGGACTGCAGCCAAACGAAAAGTTGATTATTATTCTTCTTCTTCCTCCTCCTCCTCGTCCTCCTCCTCCTCTTCCTCCTCCTCCCCATTCTCTTCCTCCTACTCATCATCATCATGATGATTCCTCCCTCCTTCTTGGGGAAGGGAAGCTGCAACCAAGTCAAAAAGGACGGGGTCACGTATCCGACGTTGTTTGAAGATGCCGTCCTCTCGCCTCCTTCCTCCTCCTCCTCCTCCTCCTCCTCCTTCTGCTCCTCATCCCCCCCCCGACGACGTCGCCGACGACGACAATGCCGACGACGATGGCGACGGCGGCGACGCCCCCCCCCCCCCCCCCCCTGCAGGAGCAGCAGCAGCTCGCGCAGCAGAGCCGCCGCAACGCCGACACCGCGGGGCTGGAGTCTAGGCGCGACTGGAGCTGCAGCGTCGTCATCGTCGCCGCCGTCGTCGGGAGGAAGGCAGGGAGGGAGGGGAGGAGGAGGAGGAAGAGGAGGAGGGGAAGGAGGGGGAGGCCAGGAGGAGTGGGAGGAGGAGGAGGCCAGGAGGCCAGGAGGCCAGGAGGAGGAGGAGGACGACGAAGGGGGAGGGTTGGGGAGAAGGAGGAGTGCCCAGGAGGGCACAGCCGGGCCCTGGGGGATGCGCCGCCACCAGCTTATATGTAGAGCTTCGGACACGCGGTCCGCCGGAGGAGGAGGAGGAGGAGAACCTCTCCTCCTCCTCCGCCTCCTCCTCCATTCCTTTCCCTTATCAACAACTCATCCCTGTCGCACCCCAAGGCCGCTCGAACGGGCGGGCCGGGCGTTTCGCTTGAGTCCTCGTCACCATTCATGATCCTGCAGCTTGGAGTAGTTGCAGCAGTTTCACGGATGGAGGGCGTGCCGCTTTCGAAGTGAGGCTCTCGCCTTGGCGCCCCGCACATTCGTCTTACAAGTTTGCCAGAGTTTCACGAATGGGGGGCGGGCTGTTTTCAACATGTGGTTCTCGCTCCATCGCCACGCACATTCGTTTTCAAAGTCTGCTGAAGCTTCACGAATGGAGGGCGGTCCTTTTTTCAACATGTGACTCTC